CGCAGCTGTTTTAAAAAGGCAGTGACCGGGTCCTGTTTCTACCCAGTCTCATCACATTCTCAGCCTTCTCTCCCAGTTATTCTGGATCCGCTTTGGTGTAAATGGTAACAGAAATTCGGCCAGGATGTAGAGACCAGAGCGTTGGAGCAGCAAAATGACATGAGGGTGCCCTCAGAAGTGACGGGGAAGGCAGAACTCACAGCACCCACCACCGGCTGCGACGGGGAAGCTGTTACCCACAGAAACCATTCCTGGGCGGTCAGACCAAAGCGATACCAGTCCTAGGCTGATGTGTCCAGTCCACCCCCCTGCTCCAGCGAGCAGAGTTTCATGGCCCTTGGCACTCTGAAGAGCAAACCAGAGGGTCTGCAGTGGGGTCTCTCGTGAAGGGACGACTGCCTTTGGCTGCAGGCAGACAGACACTCTGGGACAAGAATTCTAAAAAGCAGGTGAGGTGTACACAAAGACCTGGCTCCTGAAAAATTTTCTGGCCAGCTTTGCTTCGGTTTATCGCCTAGAGAGAGGACACAGAGGATGGCATTTCATGCATGGAATTTTAATGATAACTTTATTATATTTTAGTGTATTATTGGCTTGTGATTTTGTAGTCTTACAAGAAATTTCCGTTTCCACATCTCCATTAAATGTCTGATTCATTTTCTTGGCTCGTGGTAATGCCTCAAAGCTATATCACTAAAGAATCAGTGCTCTGCATTAGATAAATATAAGATCGAGTCTGATTAACCTATTAACTATTTTTAATTAGCTTTTACTGTTCTTCAGATATTCCATGTTTTTGAGGAAGCAGAAAGAGAATGAGAGCACGCTGGTACTATAGAGCTATATAGAGCTAGCATATGGTCCGAGATTTTTCATCATCATTGGCAGGAGCTCTGCTGTAGGGAATCTTGCAACAACATCACAATTTTCCTGCTAGAGTGAATGCCATAATGGACACATTTGCAGCATGAATTATAGGCGAGATAGAAAAATTTTAAATCTTTATAGCATTTTTATGGTCTGTCTTCCTTTTTGGTAATCAGATCTTGATTAAGAGTTGGAATTAGCACCCAGAAGAACATTAGGCTTTCCTGGCTCAGTTCCTTTCCACCATGTAGGGCAGGCAACAAATGATTCAGTGCCTTTACAGTGCTGCTACAACAAAAAGGTGTCTAAACACCTATCCATCACTTTAGGGAAGTAACGGACTTGCTTGCCTGCAATGAAGAACACACGGTAATAGCAAAGCATTTTATTTGCTAAATAAAGCAATTCCTTGATTTAGTTGAGGCAGACCCCTCTCTCCATCACGATGACTTCCCGGGGCAAAGGCTGGGCAAGGGGAGGTCCCTGGCATCTGTCCCCACAGTCGGAGCCACCCTGGCCTTGGAGGCACCCCCCGGGCACAGCTGGACAGTTTGGGTCCCCGTCTTATCAGCTTGAAGAATATCTGACCCAGCTATGCCACAGCACTTTGGACCTTCTAATTTTAGGTGTTCTCATGGTTTGTTTTTTTGGGGCTTGGGTTGTTTTTTTTTTTTGTTTGTTTGTTTGGTTGGTTGGTTTGGTTTTGGGTTTTTTTTCTGCCTTTCAGACATGCTGGGACCACTTCAGCCCACGCCAGTGGCAGAGATGCGGCCGCCCCAGCACTCGTCCTCCCTCCACCTCGAACGAGCAAACGAATAACTACAGCTTTTTCTGACAACGCTCCTTCTGTACTCTTCTTAATCCACATCTCCCCCGCCGAACCCCCTCCCCCCTCCAAACCCCGCTCTGCGTGACCAAGGTCTCCACCGCAACCCGACCCCCCTCCCCACCCCCTCCAGCCCCTGACCCCCCGATGCCCGGGACCCCTCCTCACCCGCCGTCCCCGGGGCTCCCCCCCCCAACCTCCCCCCCACCCGAAGCCCAGCGGGGTTTTCGCGAAAACTGCTCTTTTCGATTTGGTCCCTCCGGGGGGGCTGCTCGCCCCCCTGCCCCCCACTGCCCCGGCCCACAGCCCGGCTGCTCCCTCCTCCCCTCTGCCCGCCCCCCCTCGAGCGCTCGGCGGCTACTCTCTCTCTTTTATTATTTAAAACTCGGAGTTGCTTTATCCGCAACGAGGCGGCGAAGCGCTGACGAAGAGCCCCAGCCGCCGCCGCCCCGCTCGGGACCCGCCTGTGTGCTCAAGGAGGAATTTCGAGTTTTCTGCGGCGTTTTCAGGCCTGCGGTTTGTTCAACCCTTCAGTGAAGTTTGTCACGGGGGTGGTTTTTACTCCCACCGCTACCCGGGGTGCTCCCGGCCCCCCCACCCCCCCCACCCCCCGGTTCTGAGCTGCCGGGCTCAGCCCCCGACTTGAGCAGCTTCGCCTGCCGCCGGCTGTGCTTCGGGGGAAAGCAAAACCTGGCTCTGGAAAAGGAACCGACATTCTCAAATATTTCAGGGTGACAGTTATGAAAGACACAGAGAGGAGGTAATGCTGACGGCTGCTTTTGAATCCCAACGGTTTCTCCAGCACGGGGCAGCCCCATTGGCGCCGTCTCACCTGCGATGCTAATTTTAGGAAAGAAGTTGCACAAGGCGGCCTCCAAATATAAAGGCTCTTTCCCAAGATTCCCGCCCGTTCGTTACAGAAGGAAGAAGAAGGAGCTTGTGTGGGAGGGCTTGGTTTGTCTTGCTTTCCCTAGAAAACAAACCCAGAGGTGCTGGGCGGTGAAGTCCCGCTCTGGCCGGGAAGGAAGCGGCCGGGCCCGGGGCCTGCCAGTCGCCGGGAGGGGGGGGGGGGTGTGGGGGGGAAGAGGGGAAGGAAGGGAGGGATGCTGAGCAGCAGCCCCCAGCCCGGGCTGCAGGGCGGCCGGATCAGTCCCTGCGGGCTCAGGCCCCCGTTCCCCGTCGGCACCCGCCCCTGGCCAAGCTCCCTCGGGGCGCTCCGAGGAGGAAGGCAGCGAGGTTGGGGAGCCCCTGTCCCCCCCCCTCTCGAGCCAGGCCGGGGCAGACCCCGGCCCCGCATCTCCTCCTCCTCAGGCGGGAGGGAAAAGCGGCTCCCCCGGGTGCTGCCCACGCCGCGGGGCCGCCCCACGCCTGCCTCGGTGCTTCCAAACCCTGTTTAATTTTTTCTCTTCCCCCCCGCCTTCAGTTAAAATGCAAATCGGTCACTCTCAGAGCCAGGCTCCCCCCTTCCCACTCCCGCTGACCGAGCCGAGCCCCGGCGGTGCGGGACTGCCGCGACCAAGCGCTCCCTGGCTCCACTGAAACCGTCAGAAACGGACATTTTTAGTTTTATTTTTTCCTTTAGAATATCGGAGAAATGACCCAAGGCGGGGGGGACGGGAAGATTAAAAAAAAAAAAAAATCAAACCCGGAGACCTAAACGCGAGCTTCTGGGAGGCGCAGTTTGTGTGGTTGTGCAAAAGTTACGGCGAGGCAGGATCCTGCTCTCTGCGCCCTTTCTCCAATTGTATTTTTTCGCTGCTTTGTAAATTAAACTAAACCAATTCCGAGCAACAGGGGATATTTAGAAATAGAAGGAAACACCGTCGCAGGTCGAGGATCAACATGCTTCCGCTTTATCTCAGATCTGTGATCAAATAAAAATCGAAATTCCACACCATCCCCCTTTTTCCACGCTCGAGGAAATAAGTGCTCCCCACAGGCACACTCACTCGGTCAAAATTGTTTAGGGTGATTTTGCACGGCTCTTCTCTCCGTGGGACGCTCTTTAGGCGCCACGCGGGATTTTTTTCCCGTCCAGCCCCAGGCGGCGGGAAGAGCCGCGAGCAGCCGGGGACAAGTGTCGGGGGAGCTCGTTGCGGCGGCCCCCGGGGACACAGTGTCGGCCGGTGGCCGGGCAGGAGGGGCCGGGGGCCCGGCGGGGCGAACACGGGGATCCGAGGTGCGGTGGGTACAGGGAGCACCCACGCGGGTCCGGAAGCCCGCGGGGAGGGTCGGGTCGGGCCGCGCCGCCCGCCACCGGCTCAGTGCGGCCCCACGGGGGAGGCGCCGGGGCAGGCCCGGGTGGGAGTGGAGCGGCTCAGCTCCCCGGAGACGTTCCCGGGGCACAGGGACAGAGGAAAGAAGAGAGAGACAGGGAAAAGGGAGAAGGAAAGAAAGAGAGAGAGAGAGAGAGAGAGAAGGAAAGAGAGGAGAGAAAGGAGAAAGGAAAAAAGAAAAAAAAAAAGGAAAAGAAAAGAAAAGAAAAGAAAAGAAAAGAAAAGAAAAGAAAAGAAAAGAAAAGAAAAGAAAAGAAAAGAAAAGAAAAGAAAAGAAAAGAAAAGAAAAGAAAAGAAAAGAAAAGAAAAGAAATAAAAGAAATAAGAAAAGAGAAAGAGAAAAGAGAAAAGAGAAAAGAGAAAAGAGAAAAGAGAAAAGAAAAGAAGACATAGAGAGAAAGAGAGCGAGGAGAAAAAGGAGAGAGGGAAAGAAAGCGAAAATTAAAAAGAGAGAGAGGGGGGAAATGAATAAGAAAATGGGAGCGAAAGGGGGGAAAGGAGAAAATGAAACTGAGAGAGAAAAAGGAAAAAAAAGAAAGAATAAAAATGAAAAAATAAAAATTACGGAAAAAAAAAAAAACTGAAAGGGTAGGAAAGGAAAAGCAAAGGAAACGGCAAAACAATTGAAAAAGGATAGGAAAAAGGAGAAGAAAGGTCAGGAAAAAATGAAAGGAGGAAGGAAATGAAAACGGGAAAGTAGAAAAGGGAAAGGAAAATGAGAGGAGAAATAAAAAAGAAAAGGGAAAGGAAAATGAAAAGGGTCAAGGAAAAGGGAAAGGGAAAAGGGGCAAGGCAAAAGGAGAGGAAGAATAGAAAGGGGAAAGAAAAGCGAGGGCAAAGAGGAGAGCGAGAAGAGGCGAAAAGCTGCGGCGAGGCCGAAGTTGCCGGCAGGGCGGGCGCGGCGCGGCGCGGGTGGGCAGGGCCCCCCGCGGGTGGGCAGGCCCCCCCGGCGCCCCGCCCCCCCCCCGCCGCCGCCGCCGCCGCGCCCGCTGCCGGCCGGGCCCCCGCTAAAGGCGGCGGGGAGCGGGGCGGCGCGGCAGTGCGCCCCGAGCCGCGCCCGCAGCCCCGACCGCAGCCCCGGGCAGGCAGCGGGCAGCGCGCCCGGGGGGGATGCGCGGCGCCGGGGAGGAGGCGGCAGGGGCGGCCCCCGCGCCGCTGTGAGCCCCCGGCCCCTCGCAGGCGTAGAGGAGCTATACGCGCGGCCCCTGCGCCTCTCTATATCTATAGATATTATTTAGAGAGAGAGAGAGAGAGAGGAGGCAGCCGCCGCTTCTCTCCGCGGGAGCGGCCGCCGAGGCGCAGCCCCGATGCCCGGCGGGGCGGCGGGGCCGCCGCTCGGGCGCGCAGCTCCCCGTTAAAAGCGGCGGCCCCCGCGGGCTGGATGCGCGGCGCCGGTGCGGGCAGCACCCCTGGGCCGGCCGCCGGGGCCCCGCGGCTCTAGGGGCCCCCCGGCCCGGCCCGGCCCGGCGGCGGTGCGGGGATGCTGGCGCTGGGGCAGATGGACGGCGCGCCCCGGCAAGGCGCCTTCCTGCTGGGCAGCCCGCCGCTGGCCGCCCTGCACAGCATGGCCGAGATGAAGGCGCCGCTGTACCCCGCGTACCCCCTGCCCGCCGGGCCCGCCTCCTCTTCCTCCGCCTCCGCCTCGCCCGCCTCCGCCTCGCCCTCGCCGCCGCTCGGCTCCCCCGGCCTGAAGCCGCCCGCCGCCGCCTCCGGCGGGCTCTCGGCGCTGGGCTCGGCCCCTCCGCAGCTCTCGGCCGCCACCCCGCACGGCATCAACGACATCCTCAGCCGGCCCTCCATGCCTTTGCCGGCAGCCGCCCTCGCCTCCGCCTCGCCCTCCGCCTCCTCGGCGGCCCCCGCCGGGCTGCTGGCCGGGCTGCCCCGCTTCGGCAGCCTCAGCCCCCCGCCGCCACCGCCGCCCGCTCTCTACTTCAGCCCCGGGGCCGCCGCCGCCGCCGCCGCCGTGGCCGCCGGGCGCTACCCCAAACCGCTGGCCGAGCTGCCCGGCCGGACACCCATCTTCTGGCCGGGGGTGATGCAGAGCCCGCCCTGGAGGGACGCCCGCCTCGCCTGCGCCCCCCGTGAGTACCCACAGCGCGGGGGGGTGGGAGGGTGGTGGGACGGAGGGGGGAGCGGGCCCGGGGAGCCGCGCCGGGACTTCCGCTCCCGGGGCTGGGGAGCCCCCGCATCGCGGCGTGACCCACCCGGGCCCTCCCCGCAGCTTTGTCTCGCTTTCCTTTTTTTTGTTTGTGGGTTTTTTTTTTTTTTTTTCGTTGTTGTGTTAAGTTCGCTTTGCTTTCTCCATCCCCCTCGGTCAGCGCGAAACTCTGTAAAATGGTCGGTTATTGCCGGCGGAAAGAGGGAGCCCACTCGGGGCAAGGCAGCCGCGCTGCCGCCACCTTTCCCTATCCCCGAGGGGGGAACTCGCAGGGCCGGGGCTGCTTTTAGGGGCCCGCATAAACTTTCCCCGGGCAGGACTTTCCGTTACCTCCCGCTTGTACCGGCTGCAGTTTCTCTAGAAAACAATATCGTTTGCCTGCTCAGATTCCCGACCCTTAAAGGGAAAAATAATCCGGGGGAGTCGGGAGGCTGGCGCCGCCGCGGGGTCCAGGCTGCAGTTTTGTTACAGACCCCCCCTCCCCGCGGAGGGAAAACCCCCGTCCCCCAGGGCCGCTCGAGAGCGAAGCGCTTTCCCTAAATCCGTAGATTAACGTGTCTGTCCGTGCCTTCCCTTTCTCTCCCCCCCGCCAGATCAAGGCTCAATTTTGCTGGATAAGGACGGAAAGAGAAAACATACCAGACCCACTTTTTCTGGCCAGCAGATTTTCGCCTTGGAAAAGACTTTCGAGCAGACGAAATACCTGGCGGGCCCGGAGCGAGCCCGGCTGGCCTATTCGCTGGGGATGACGGAGAGCCAAGTCAAGGTGAGCGGAGCGGTGCGGGGCTGGAGGGGGGCGCGGAGCCCCCGGCTCGGCCCGGGGAACGCAGCCGCGGAAAGAGGCCGGGGATGCTGCGGGCCGGGCCGGGGGGTCTTCCCCGGCCCTTCGTTACCTTAGTGGCGGGGCTGAGAAGGGTGTTTTAAAGCGTCTCTCGTTTAAAAACAAAAACAAAACAAAAAATCCACACCAAAAAGCAAAACAAACGAACCCAAGCAAGACTGAGAAACCCGGGGCGTTCAGGCTGAACGCCCCCGGGGGTGGCCGCCGTGTTAGAAAAGCGCGGGGGGAGGTGGTGGTGTGTGGGGAGTGTGTCAGGGCGCAGCCTCTCCGGCCTGCACCCCACACAAAAACTGCGTGGGCCCCTTCGGCTCCGGCTGCGCTGCGGCTGTTGGGCTGGGACCGTGCACCCTGTTCGCACTGTCCCGCCCCAAAGTCCCCGTTTTAGTTTAAACTCTGAGCAAAGCGGAGTGTGTGTGTGTGGAATTGGGAGAGCGGGCTGAACCCTGCGAGGACACGCGTGGAGGAGGCGTTTGCTCCGCGGGCGCGGGGACGCGAGGCGGGGTGGGCCTCTCGGCGGTGCCCACGCTTTCAGACTGATGTGGAGACTTTCCTTTGTCACCGCAAATACGTCCCGGTGGCTGCGAATAAATTATTGCAGCCTCTACAATGAAAATACCGCCCCCCCCCCCCCTCCTCTGGCCGGAGAATACATACATCTGGCGGGGCAAGGGCGGCTGAGGAAGGATTGAGCCTCGAAATGTGCGGTTCCACCCGTGGAGGAGGGCAGGGGGGAGCTGGGGGCGGCTGTTCGCCCACGCCGGGTGGGAGGAGGGAGCGCGATGCGGCGGGGCTCGGCTGCTTTTCGTTGTCGGGGAACGGCGTCTGATGGGCGGCGAAGCGGGAGTGAGTCCCGCAGAAACGGGGACGGGGCGGCGGGGAGTGTGTGTGTGTGTGTTTGGGGGGGGGGGGGGGCACGGGGGGGACACGGCACGGCACGACACGAGCGGTGACGGTGGCGGCGGGGACAGGTCTGGTTCCAGAACCGACGGACCAAGTGGCGGAAGAAACACGCGGCGGAGATGGCGACGGCGAAGAAGAAGCAGGACTCGGAGACGGAGCGGCTGAAGGGCGCCTCGGAGAACGAGGAGGAGGACGACGACTACAACAAACCCCTGGACCCCAACTCAGACGACGAGAAGATCACGCAGCTGCTGAAGAAACACAAGCCGGGGGGCGGCGGGCTGCTGCTGCACCCCCCCGAGGGGGAGGCCTCCGCCTAGCCCGCTCCGCCCGCCGCCGCTTTCGGAGATGTACAGATCTATTTTTCTAGACTCTACGCGCCCGGGAGGAGGAGGAGGAGGAGGAGGAGGAGGGGGAGCAGAGAGGACCCCAGCGGGCGCGCCCGTGTTATTGTAGGGTCGCGGGGAGCGGCGGGGGCCGCCCCGGGCCGGGTCCCGCTCCCGGTGGTGCGGCGGCCGCCCGTTCTCTTTGTAAATAAACCGCGAGTCCCCGCGACCATAGGCGTTCCTTACTGTGAATATTTAAAATGTAAAATACCTTCTTTTTTTTTTTTTTTTTTTTTTTTTTTTTTTGTACAGCGGGGGCGCCGCTCCCCCCCCCCGCGCTCCCCGCCGACGGGGGCATCCCCGCACCCCCGAGACGGGCAGCAGCGGGGTCACCCGAGGAAAAAAAACACTAGTGGCTGCCACCGGTGCCTCCCTCGGGCCGAAGCTGCAGCGGCCCCGCGTGCTATTTATTAGGATTTTTGGAAACCCCTTTTCCGTTGCGGTCGTCGTGCAGAGGGAGGGGGGAGAGGGCAAGGGGACAGGGTTTGCTTTCACTTTACACCGTTTCCAATCAACCACGTGTTGAAAAAGTAGATGGTGGTAATTGTCACAACCACTTTCCGTCAAAATATAAAATTCATTTAGTTGCTGTAATTGAATTTAAAGTGTGTTTTCTTTTGTATCATACGGAATACTATAGAATGTAAATTGTTTGTTTTTTGTTTTTTTTTTTTTTTTAAAAAAAAAAGCTAATAACGATGATATATCGTGATATAGCATAACATTTAATAATTTATATTAAAAATAATTCGGTTTGTAAAGAGAAGAAAAGCCCTTTGCAAGACCAGTTAAATGTAATGCACTTTCTGTTTAAAAAAACAAACAAACAAAACCACCAACAAGCGATAAATCAATTAAACCAGTTTAAAGACGTTTGCTGCCTTCACTAAAGGGTACAGATAATCTGATCTCATCAAAGATTAAAAATAAACCCACGGTGCAGGAGGAGGAAAACAAAAAAAGAAAAGCTAATTTTCAGGATCTTTTGTTCAATTAGTTGTAGGTTTTGGGGGGCGATTTTGTTTGGTGTGTTGTTTTTTTTTTTTTTTTTGTGGTTTGTTTTGTTTTGAGGCTGGAAGTTATCCACTTTGGTGTGGGAGTTGGAGAAGGATACAAACAAAATAAGCGGCGGCTTGTTTGGGGACAGGGCTGGCGGCCCCTGCCCACGCCGGTCCCTCCGTGAGTGGGCAGGCAGTTCCCACCCGAGCCCCGGAGCGGTTCGTCTCAGCCTAAATCAGGCTCTATTAATTTTTTAAGCGGCGGGCGACGCAAGCTGTTATCGAGGGCACAGTGTTACCGTTATTATGGGAAAGAAACTGCTTTCCGAGAAGAAAACGGTGAATAAAATAAGAGCCCGGCTAAGAGTCTAGAGTAAATAGTTAGACTCAATACCGAAACAACTGGTTTAAATTGAAACTCATTATCTAGGCGCGATCATTTCCATATCTAAACAGACCAGAAACAATCGCTTTTTTTTTCTTTTTTTTTTTTTTTTTTTTCCTCTACGGCTGCAGCAGAGCAAACAGAAGCGCTTATATGAGACTAGAAAAGGGCCAACTATTCTGGAGGAATAAATAAATAAATTAGTATTCCTCCGTAAATTTGTGAAACATTTTCTACACGGGGGAAAAAAAAAAAAAAAAAAGAAAAAGGAGCAGGGTTTTATTCCTCCTTCGTCTCAGACAATGCTGGGGCTGGGGGGAGGGAGCTCTCCCGGGCCGGGATGCCGGGGGCTGCCCATCGCCCACCCCCCAACCCCGAACCTTCCCGGAGGCGTTGGGAAGGCGGGAAGGGAAAAAGCCGGGGGGTTTCCAGAGCAGTGACTCGAGCCTTGGCCGGCTCTTCGCCGTTACGATTTCCCCGTGGGTTCTGCGGGACAATGGGAAAGAAATGAAAACACGGAGGGGTCCCGGCGCTCCGCTACCGGGGATGGCTCGGAGAGCCCGGCGGGTACCAGCCCCTCCCGGGCCCGGGCCCGGCCCGTGTGCCCGGGGGGGCTGCCGGCGGTACCGCCCGCCCCGGCCCCGTTTCCAGTTGACTGCGGCACCGACTGAGGCTTTCCAGTTAATTTACTTCTGCACAGAGACCCAGCTGGCCACCGGTTGAAGTTGGCACCGTCAAAGCGGAATCGCAGGGGGAAAAAAAAAAAAAAAAAAAAAAAAAAAAAAATCATCCCAGCTCTGATCGCTTGGTTAGGCTGGTTTTGTCTGGGGCGCTGGAGAAAAGAGCAGGTTATTCACATGAGCTCGCTGGCCCCCCTTTTTGGAGCAGGTTTTGGAAGGCAGAGCCGGCGCAGCCTCCCGCTCCTCCTGGAGAAGACCTTTTTAGGAGCGGATCCAATAACTAATCCCGGGATCGCTGCCACGGACATCGCGGCGAACAATTAGGAGACAAAATGTCAGCAGGCTTCACGGGGCGTGAAGCTCCCCCCGTGCGTGGGGCCTGGCCGAGATCAGCCGCACTTTCAGTTCAGTCCTTCAGACACGCAGGAGTTTGTTGCGTGACCGTGTAAACTCACGGATAAACGACGCTAGAAAAGTACTGCACAGCCGTGGCCGCAGAGACGGGGGGTGGGGGGGGGGTGGGGGGGGCACCAGAGCCGCTCCTCGGCGCCCGGGTCCGGGTCGAAATCTCCGCGGGGAGTAACCAGCCGCACACACGCGTGGGGAGCGGCGGGCGCCGGCTGCGCGGCCGCGGAGCGGGGCGGGTGGGGGGGTTCTTGGCCAAGAGGTGAGAGACCACCGTGGACCGGGCCTGAGGATTCCCTTCGCAAAGGGCTTTTGGTTCTCCTTTATTCCCGTGACAGAGCCCTCGGGTTTAAACCCCGCTCCCTTCCGCGGGCGTGCGCGGGATTTCCCGGCTCGGGGGAAATAAAGGCGCCTGGTTTGGTGTTCACCCTGCCTCGGTCCCATGCCATGTGCCTTCTCCGGGGCTCCGGAGATACCGCGGGAGAAACGAGGTGCCGAAAGCATCCTCCCCGCTTTCCCACCGCCGCGGCTTTGCCGAGGAACCCTCTGCGGTCCCTCTCTAGTCCCAACGCGAATCACCGCGGGAGGAGGAAACTTTTTTTTTTTTTTTTTTTTTTTTTTTTTTTTTTTTTTTTGGCCGCAGAAACGTACCAGGCGCAGGTCCCCGCTCCGCGCCTTACCACAGCCGCCGGCACCGGGGGGTTTGGGGGGGGGGGGGAAAGAAAGAGAAGGGAAAAGAGGGGCGGGGAGCAGCCCCGGTCGCCCGGTACCCCGCTCCCGGCCGGCAACTGCTGCCCTCAGGAGATATACATATGGATGCCGGACATATGGACGCGGGCAAGACCCACACCGCCGTGCCCCAGGGCCCCGAGGCCGTGCAGCGGGACGCGGGTGGCATGGGGAAGCCCACGGCCGCGGGGGAGGATGGAAGGAGCTCTCTCCCCCGCGGGGTAACGAAGTGGCCGCTCACCCCGGGGCATGATGTGCGGGGGGGGGGGGGGGGGGGGGGGGGAGGGGAGCTTCCAGTCCGTAGGCCACTGTCACCCGGCCCCCGACGGCCCCCACACCAGCGCTGTCACAACCTCGGGGCCTTCGGGCTCTTTCATCCCGGCAGCGATTCCCACCGTGGCCCCCGGTGTGGGCAGCAGGCGAGGCAATGCCTGCACCCCTGCCAGAGGGACACCCAGACCGACAGCCACGTCGGGGCAGCGCGACCGTTCCAGCGAGCGCCGTCCTTCTCCCACCCTTCCCCTCACGCGTGCTCGCCTTCTATGAACTCCTGAAATCCCGCTATCGTTCGTCACTTCCCAGTGATACTAATTTGTAACGTTTCCCATATCACGCACACGCCGTTTTCACCCCCACACCCCCACTCCCCCCCCCCCCCCCCCATCCCCTTTTTCCCGCCGTGATGGCGTTTCGTGCAAGACTTTCGTTACACCACCCGTGCCAGCCGCTCCGGGGCTTCGCTTTCGGCACCCCCTCCACCCGGACAGGACTCGTTCCGCACTCCAGGGGAGCCGGGGTTTAAAATGCGGGTGGTGGGGCTTCCACTCCCGGCCGAGACCCACCCCACCGAGCTCCCCATCCCGTGTGGAGGCCGCTGGGAGAGAGAGACAGGCGCCCGCGGGCTGCTCCCGCGTTCAGAGCCGGCGTCGCCGCACGCAAATTAAAAAAGTAAGCTGAACTGCTCCCTCCTAATTGCAGCTCCGCGTTTACCTCCTGCACCCGTAGGTATTTTCCAGAGACATGCTTCTGGCGGCGCGCACCAGCTGCCTCCAACAGCGGTTGCAAGGCTCCGGGAGGGACTCAAACATCTGCCGGGGATTGGGATATATCCCCACCCGCACCCCGTACCCCCACCCGCAACACCACCCCCCCCCCCCCCCCACCTGCCGGGCGGCCGGCAGCTCCTCCGCGCTCCAGCAAACGTGATTTAGAAGAGAGAAGTTATTGAGACCCCTGCGACCCGGGCTGGCAGCGCCGCTCCGCGCCGCTCCGCACCGCTCCGCGCCGCTCCGCACCGCTCCGCGCCGCTCCGCACCCCTGGGGCGGCGGGAGGGCTCGGCGGGGCCGGTCGGTGCCCCCCGGGCTGCGGGGAGCGCCCGGCGCCGGCCCTGCGGCAAGAACCCGCTGCCGCACGCCCAAGTGCATCCCTGGAATAACGTCCTCGATCATTTATTAAAAGTCGTGTCAAGCGAGCCCATATAATTCATCTTTATGCAAATACATCAATGTCAAGCCATTAGTGTATTGCTCGGGTTTTTTATTAAAGTGCATTCTTTTTAATTCAGCTCGGTAAAATACGAGCCCTATTGCTCAAGAATTATAGCAACTATTAGAGTAACATATGGGCAACATGCACTCAGAAAATAAAAATCAACAGATAAAGTGGCAGGGTCACAACGGGGAGCAAACACTTAACAAAATGGCAGCGGGGTAATAGATTTTCCTCCCGCGCCCCCGGCGCTGGGGGTGTCAGGAGGATCCCGCTGGAGCGATCCCGGGGCGGCAGAACCTGCAGCCCAGATCCCTCAGCCCGGATCCCGGATCCCAGATCCCTCAGCCCGGATCCCGGATCCCTCAGCCCGGATCCCGGATCCCAGATCCCTCAGCCCGGATCCCGCATCCCGGATCCCCGCGGGGACTGCGGGACCGCACCCCTGACCCACCGACACGCACCTCCACGTTGCCCACCCCCCCAACCTCCCCCCCCTCCCCCCCCGCTATCCCGGATTTAATGAGAGAGTTGCCCACATCCTCATCACCCCAGCATGGTAATTGAGCAGATCTATTAACTTGTTACACTAGATTTGTTTAAAGAGACTATTACACAGTCATTTAATCAATTTGTTACACTGGAGGTCCTGACTTATGAGACACTTGCCGTATGATTCCTTAATGACTGAATTAATTTGTTTTAATAAAACCAACATTGTGTACAAGCACATTTCGAGAAATGTAATTTTGGAGACGGAACAGTCCAATGCTTCATCTGATTAGGTCTTTTCTATGGTTTATCAAAGTCGGGAGTTGCCGTCATAAACTGCATGTATGGGGTATTTTTCTTTTTTATAGCGTCATTAATTTAATATGGATCATTAGTTCTTTATACACATGCATGTTCTGACAAATGTATCCAATGAATAATGCACCTAATGTGTTTGGGCTCAAATGCATCACGCCATAAACAGAAACTGCCGCAAAAAATAAATAATACTAATTAATAATAACAACAATTAATATCACAGCCCCGCGGCGGGCGCTCGGGGACAGTTTTCCAGCTCCCCCACCACGGCGGCACCGCCAGCCCGGGCTCGCTGCGGCCAAATGGATTTACGGTGAATTAAGGTTATCCCGAGAGCAGATGTAGGACAAGAAAATCGGTTTTGCTCCTGATG